GAATTGATTGGCTGTAAGTACTCACGTGTGCAGTGCTGCGAAACGTCACGTGTAGTTTGAAGAGGAGACGAGAGAGCAGCATATAGCTAACATCACCAGCGATTAAAAGAAGTAAAAAACTGAAAGAAAATGAATGAAGTTGACCATTTACTGGAGCACACATTTGAGACACTTAGTCTCGGAGAGAAACTGGAGGTAAAGCGCCTCGGTGCCCACCATCCACCGGATTTCCAAATGGTCCAGACTGCGGGCAAAGTTAAACGTGGGTTTAACGCTGAGTGGTTTGCTAAAAAGAAATGGCTAACGGCGAGCATCCAGAAGAATTCCCTCTTTTGCTTTCCTTGCCTGCTTTTTGGTGAAGATCAAGGTACTTGGTCGAGGACAGGTTACAAGGACTTAAAGCATCTTTCGGAGAGGACAATGAAGCATGAGAGCAGCAACAGTCATTTGGAAAATGCCGTAAAATTGGGATTACTTGGAAGGGTGAATGTTGCAGCTCAGATTGACAGCGCCTACAGACGTGGCATTGATTCTCATAATAGGAAGGTGGAAGAAAACAGGTACGTGCTTGGTCGGATCATCACCTGTATTAAACTGTGTGGGAAATGTGAGACAGCACTGCGGGGCCACAACGAGTCGGCGGACTCTCTGAATCCAGGGATATTCAGGTCAATTTTCGAGACAATGTGTGAGGCTTCAACGGCACTACGAAGCTCAGCTTGTTTTCAAAGGGACATCAAGCACCATACAGAATGAACTCTTGGACTGCATGTATGATGTGTACAGGGAGGAAATAGCCAAGCAAGTGGACAACACATCATTTGTTGCCGTTCAGGCCGACGAGACAACCGATGTCTCCTGTAAATTGCAAATGGTGATTGTGCTGCGATACATTATGCCTGACCTCACAGTTACAGAGCGTTTTTTGGAGTTTGTGGAAGTAAAGGACAAAACTGGTGTAGGTCTCTCTAACAGCATCAAGGCTGTTCTGGAACCCCTGAAGCTGAAAGAAAAGCTAATCGCTCAGACCTATGACGGGGCGGCCGTCATGAGCGGTAACGTGCGCGGGGTACAGACGGTGATGAAGGAGACGTACCCAAACGCTCAGTTTGTTCACTGCTACGCCCACCAACTGAACCTGACCCTGCAGCAGTTCAGCAAGGATGAGCATCCTGAAGGGGTTTTTTGCAGATCTAACTGCTTTTTCCACTTTTTTCTCCGGTGCTCCAAAACGTGTTGCAGCTCTTGCAGAGGCAACACAGAGACGCATCCCACGGCCACCGGCTGTGAGATGGAACTTTAAAAGCAGAACTGTGAACGCGGTTTGAGAGACCCGAGATGCACTACTTCAGTGTATGAAGCATATACGCGCACAACCAGGATGGGATGCGGTCACCATAAGTGAGGCATACGGCCTGTCAAAGAAACTGCGGGACCGAGCATTTATGCAGCTCCTGGAGTTTTTTTCGTTGCTTATGCCAGAAGTGGATGTTCTATACAACACTCTGCAAAAACGAAGCATCGATGCACCTGGGATCAACAGCGCGCTCTGCCGTTTCAAGGAAAATGTTCAGAAAATGAGGCAGAAAACTGATGCATTGGCCGCCACTGCTCATGATGGAACAGACGAGCCAGGCCGACGAGTCAGCAGCACAGCGCCGGTGATGAAGGAGGCTTGTGACACAGTCATCTCACAGGTGGAACAGAGGTTCTCACAGAGTGACCATTTGATCGCTGCAAAGCTTGTTGACAGCTCATTCTTCCCACAGCATGTCCTGTCATTTCCTACACCTGAGCTTGACTGCGCCGTGAAACTGGCCTGCGTTGGGAAACAAGGAGAAGTTGAAGTCTGAGCTGACCACGCTCTACCGCCACAGTGAGCTTCACACTGGAAACACTGCCCTGTCTCTGTTGAAATCCATTCACGAGAACAACTTGGAGGAAACGTTTGCTGAGACTGTTATTTTGGTCAAAATAATAGTGACAACTCCGATGACGACATCCGAGTCAGAGAGGAACTTTTCCACCCTCAAAAGGATAAAGACTTTCACTCGCAACACCATGGGACAGCCGCGACTTAACGCATTGGCCATGCTTTCAATTGAAAGCCAGTTGATCCAGCAACTACAGGACTTCATCCCCAAAGTGATAGACACATTCTGTCAGAGGAAGGACCGCCGTGCCGCTTTTCTTTTCAAGTGAGCCTTCAGCTTTGGTAAGTTCATTTATGTCATATATTTTGTTGATCTTCTGTGTTTTGCCTCTGCTGGATCGATTGATATTGTGACCTCGATGATGAGTGTCTGTGTTTTCCTTATATTTACAGTCTATGGTGTTTTAATGCTAAAGCATTACGGTTGTTGTTATTGTTAAGAATTACTTTGTGATGGTGACCTTTACTCCATGTATGAAGGTGCATTACTATGATATCCCCACGCTGTGTACGTAAATGTATGCGCTCACAGTGTTGCTCCTGTGGTCTTCAGTATGTAATTTGACACTCCCCCTCTCTCTCTCCTCCCCCCCCTCTCTCTGTCCCCCCTCTCTCTCTCTCTCTCTCTCTCTCTCCCCCGACCTCTTTCTGCCCCCCCAGTTTTGTACACCTAGAAACGCCACTGAACACGACGAGTACACAGCGGCCACTCAGGTAACGGCACTGAAACAACCGACACTTTCAGAGACTTTTAAAAGGAAAGAGAAACTGCCCCAGAACAGTGAAAAGGCCAAAAAAATAACAGCCAAGATAGCTGAATTCATCGCGTTGGATGACCAGCCGTTATCCATTACCTTTTTTTTCTCTTAATGCATTGCATAAAGATCGGATCGGGAAAAATCGGTATCGGCAGATTGTCAAAATCAAATGATCGGAATCGGATCGGGAGCAAAAAAAGGTGATCGGGACATCCCTAGTTGAGTATCATCCGCATAACAATGAAAGTTTACAGAATGATTCCTTATAATATTGCCTAACGGAAGCATATATAATGTGAACAAAATAGGTCCGAGCACTGAGCCCTGTGGCACTCCATGGCTAACTTTGGTTTGCGTGGAAGATTCATCGTTGACACGTACAAACTGAGAGCGTTCAGATAGATAGGACCTAAACCAGCCTAAAGCAGTTCCCTTTATGCCGACTAAGTACTCTAATCTTTGCAATAGGATATCATGGTCGATAGTATCAAATGCAGCACTGAGATCGAGCAAAACAAGAATAGAGACAAGTCCCTTGTCTGAGGCTATTAGAATGTAATTTGTGACTTTAACCAGAGCTGTCTCTGTGCTATGATGTGTTCTAAAGCCAGACTGAAAATCTTCAAATAAATCATTGTTTTTTAAGTAATCACACAGCTGTTTTGCGACTGCTTTCTCAAGATTTTTTGAGAGGAACGGAAGATTAGAAATAGGTCTATAGTTGGCTAAAACCTCTGGATCGAGGTTGTGCTTTTTAAGAAGCGGTTTTATCACTGCTACTTTGAATGATTGTGGAACATAGCCTGATAAAGACATATTCATAATATTGTGCTAATTAATGGAAAAACTTCCTTCAACAGCTTAGTTGGAATTGGGTCTAACATGCACGTTGATGGTTTAAAAGAGAGAATCATTGAATTTAATTGTTCAAGGTTAATGGCTGAAAAGCATTCTAGTTTAATATCTTTCTTGATTCTTTGTACAGTATGAAAAATAGAGTCTTTGTGTCGCGAGTGAGCCCTCTATGTAATGGCCCACTTGCTGGCACCCAGTTATTTTGATCCCCCAATTAACCCAAACACACGAGGAGCAGGCAGATATCAGGTAACACAATTATCTTTATTATAAATTAAGTTAATAGTAAGGGACCATATCAGCCAAGCTTCTCACATGGAAATGTATCACAAGGCCAAGTAATGCAGTGCCTATAGACCACCCCATCATTCAGGCTGTTACCCCACCCCCTGCTGGCCGGAGGGACTATCAATGGTACAACTAACAGTAAAATATCACAAAGCATGCAAATAACGCAATAACGTCTATTTAAAGAAAGCACTACACACATCACACAATGAACATGCTCTCCCACTCACTGGCCGCTAAGGAGTAAAATGGAACAGTCACTGGCACTGGAGGGCAAATGACAACGAGTGGCACTATTTGCACCCCATACTCTCCTTGTTCATTTAACCAGTGACAGCCTGCCAAGACATGGCCCGAATTAAAATAGTTATGGGTCCGCTCTCGGTCAGGAACACCTCAGACCGAGAGGAGTTAAAAGTTATTTCTCTCACCCTTCCTTTAGCGCAGCGTGTTTCAATACGGAGCGACCCCGGAATCTGGTCGGAAGACAGCAGTTGGAGACTTGGCGTGCGTCTCCCAATAGTTCGGAGCGCGTCCGACTCAGATGCGCACTGGCCCTGATAGGAACAAGCGCACGGTGCGAAAGACAGGAACTTGAGGACGTTGCAATGATCAGGAACTTGAGTGTGTTGCAATAACAGGAACTTGAGTGCGTTGCAATAGACAGGAACTTGGGAGCGTTGCAATTCTGCCTTCAACCGACCCATCGATCAGCGGCTGGCAGCCGTACAGCAAATCGCAGTGCAGCAGAACTTCCACAGTGGACCTTCGCCTCACGGTCGCTTCCTCGTCGATCCGTCCAGAGCCTTGCTTCCCGTTCCCTCTTCACCTCGTAGCTTCACCTTCTCCGTTCTCCCGGTAAATGTCCCGGCTCCTCGCTTTAACCAACCACCGGCCAATCCACGTAGCTTACTGGAAGGCTGGGGAGGCAGCAGCCAATCACGCTGCCCTCATCCAGCTGATTCACACCAGCTGCGACAACACACATACTCCGCCCACCTGACAGGCTAACCCTTTTATGAATGGAAACACACATTTGTCCACACTTCTGCTTAAAATAGATATACACACAGTAAATATAATGCATCATCATTTGACATACAAAAATCCCATTCCTACTGGCGACATTTCCCCCCCCCGATGCTGGTGGTCGTCCCGACTACCCCTTAGACCTGGTACCTTTGTGGAGGCACCCCAAAATGTTTACGCTGCGACCTTCTCACAGGGCCTTGTCCTTCCCCTGGCACAAGCCCACCCTCCAATTGAGGCTCAAGGTCCAACTGAGCTGGGACCTGCTCTAGTTCCCCAAACTGCTCTGGCTCAGGCACTAGGCCTGGTATGACTGGGGTAGGCTGAGAGTCCCACCTAGCTACAGGGGCAAAAGGCAACAAGAATACAGGCTGTTTAGGCTGGGAATCAATTTCCTGAGGACACACCTGAGACTCGGTCCATAATCCTGCTGGGCAGGGACGCAGGTTGTTGCGGTGCATCGTCCGTATCGGTCCTTCCTTCCCCTCGGGCCGGATACTATACACTGGATGGCCAGGCCGTACCTGTGAGACAACAACATAGGGAGAAGGCACCCAATGTGGTTCCAACTTGCCTCTGGCTCTCCGTCTAAAGTTTCTGATCAGCACCCTCCCTCCGGGCAACAAGGGGATAGCATGGGCCTTTTTATCATACCGTGCCTGGTCCCAGTTCTGCCTTTGCTTGGTATGAGCTCGTACCCGGATATACGCTTCAAGCAGTGTCTGATGGTGTGTTCTCACCCAGCCATTAATTGTTCCCTTTTTCTGTGGGGGGACAACATTACATTACATTACATTACATTGCATTTAGCTGACGCTTTTATCCAAAGCGACTTACAATAAGTACATTCGACCAGGAAGACACAACCTTGAAGAAAACAGAATCATATAAGTACATCGGGTTTCATAGAGCCAAACATTTCAAGTGCTACTCAACTGGCTTTAGATAAGCCAGTCCTTTATTAGTATATAAGTGCTTTGTTAATAATTCTATCGCTCGAAGTGGAGTCGAAAGAGATTAGTTTTCAGTTTGCGCCGGAAGATGTGCAAGCTATCTGCTGTCCTGATGACAATGGGGAGCTCATTCCACCATCTTGGAGCCAGGATAGCAAACCCACGTGTTTTTGCTGATGGGAACTTGGGTCCCCCTCGCAGCGAGGGTGCAGCGAGTCGTTTGGCTGATGCGGAGCGTAGTGCACGCGCTGGGGTGTACGGTTTAACCATGTCCTGGATGTACGAAGGGCCAGATCCATTCGCAGCATGGTAAGCAAGTACCAGTGTCTTGAAGTGGATTCTAGCAGTTACCGGAAGCCAGTGAAGGGAGCGGAGGAGCGGAGTGGTGTGGGAAAATTTAGGAAGGTTGAAGACCAGACGAGCCGCTGCATTCTGGGTGAGCTGCAGAGGTCGGATGGCACATGCAGGTAGACCAGCCAGGAGAGAGTTGCAGTAGTCTAGGCGTGCGATGACAAGAGCCTGGACCAGAACCTGCGTCGCTTTCTGTGTCAGCTGGGGACGTATCTTCCTGATGTTGTAAAGCATGTATCTGCAGCAACGGGTTGTAGTAGCGATGTTTGCAGTGAAGGACAGGTTGTTATCTAGGGTCACACCCAGATTCCTTGCAGTCTGGGTCGGGGAAACAACAGAGGTGCCGATGTTGATTGTTAGGTCAAGAGTGGGACAATCTTTTCCCGGAAGGAAAAGCAGCTCAGTCTTATCAAGGTTGAGCTTGAGGTGATGAGATGATAACACCTACACACAGATCAACAGGCAGTCTGGCGTGACGGCCAAACAGTACAAAGTAGGGAGTCAGTTTAGTGCTACAATGTACAGTGTTGTTGTAAGCTTGAACTAAAGCTGGCAGCTTTTCCCTCCACCGTACCTGCTCTTCTGCACCCAGTGTGCCCAATAATGACAGCAAAGTTCTGTTGAAACGCTCACAGGCCCCATTTCCCTGGGGATGGTATGGGGTAGTGCGGCTCTTTGTACAGCCATACAGTTCACAGAGCTGCCGCATTACCTCAGACTCAAAGGCACCTCCTCGGTCCGTCAAGAACCTTTCTGGGCACCCGGAAGGCTGGATGAGGGCGGTCCACAAATGTCTCGCCGTCGTCTGAGCTGTCTGGTCCTTGGTGGGCACTGCCACAGCATACCTGGAAAACAGATCTGTCATAACCAGGATATACTGGTGGGTGTCGGTTGGCCGTCCCAATGATAAATAGTCCAGGGCTACAACCTCCCATGGGTAACTGGATACAATGGGCTGAAGAGGGGCCCTCACCTTGGGACCAGCCTTCCCTGTCACACATTGTGGGCATACTACTGTCCAGGACTTTATGTCCTTAGCCATCCCCAGCCAGTAGAATCTGCGCTGCAGGATACTCAAGACCTTTTCGCTGTTGGCATGTCCAAATAAATATCGTTCCAGCGCAGGCTAACCGAGGCTAACCGAGGCTAACCAATGAGCACAGGCATGTGTGTATGAGAATGGCCCTGACACCATTTCAGCCCAGATTTAAACTCCTGGCAGGACAAGCTCCAGCTCAATTCTCGCACTGAATAAAAAAAAGTGAGTGAGGGACTGCAATATAAGAGGGAAAGAAAGAGAAACTTTAAAACTGTTCAATTGTTATGATGTGTAAAGACTGATATTGTTCTATAATCGTCTGAAACTGTTAAGTCATGAAGAGAAACTCATGCTGCTGCTACACTTTATTTTATTTATCTAAAATTAAGCACTTTTGAGATGCACACATTTTCAAAAGCTAATTTATTTATTTTCTCTATTTCATTTTTTTTATGTGTGCTACAATGAGGGAAATACATTACGGGCCAAAAGTTTTATTTACAAGTATTAAAAGTAAGCAGAGGACACCAAACCAACTGAGACCTGTCTGTCCGCTGCATCTACGCACTGTACAACATGCACCTACAGCTCCTAAAGCATATAATCAGCCGTTGTGTATTTTATTATGTGAAGCACTAAATGGTTTTAGAAAAATATCGAGTCTTTGTTTGTAGATATCTACTAAACTACAACAAATACAGAGAGTAATGTAGGCCTGTTATACTGAGTGATATATATTTTACACACTGCTCTGCTTTCTGCACGGACCTCACAGCTGTTCTCTCTGTAAACATCGCGTTGCGATGAGAGCAGTTAATAAAATAATATCCAGGGGATGCATGCAGAGCTGTCATTGGCTGAGATAAGTCCGGCCATGCGTCACGACTCTTTGAAACATCTCTGTTCCCGGAAATGCATCCACGAAGGAGCCGTGGAGGACCCATCAGTGTATCCTCGGTTATAGCTCCTCCAGAGAGCCTCCTCGACGCTCGATCCTCGGTGTGCATTTAGAGAAATGAGATGTCCTTCAAAATGGCGCGCTGAAATTCATTTCCGGGTCACTACCGGAGGACCGAGGAGGGGAAATTTGAGTATTGAGAAGCCTCTTCTGGCTCTTTTTCTCCCTCCCTGAGGCAAGCGTTTGCTCCTGCTGCTGTAATTCAATGCAAATCCTTCCTAGAGGCAAGCACTGTAATTCTCTCCGGTTGGCCACCAGCAGATGACAAACACCCACCTCTCCGCCTCTTCCAAGGGACGAGGGGACCGTGCGGCAGAGTCAGGGGCGGACTGGGAGGAAAAAGTGGCCCGGGGATTAATTGACAGAAAGGCCCACTTAATGCGCGGCATGAATCGGCCGGCCGGCGACGAAAGTATGTTACTTAACAAAAAACCCTATGCATTTAATAATATTTTGGACCATTATTCATATAGTAATCACATTACCTGAGCCCTTGAGTTGCCTAGAGCAAAAATAGTTACAGCATATATTTATTCATTTTCATGTTAACAGATCATTGATGCAATAACATTTGGACCCAATTTGCCTGACTTGACGCATGGAATCAAACATGGGCGTAGGAAGCATCCTCAATGTGGGTGAGACAATGTAACAGGGGGTGTGGGCAGGTGGTGGACCTCACCTCCTCTAGGGGGGTCCGGGGGCATGCTCCCCCGGGAAGATTTTTTTTGTTGTTAAATGTTGAAGTTAAATGCATCTGTGAGCCTCTCCGCTCACACAGTGTTCAAATAGGGACGGAAAGAGCAGGTTGGTTTATCACAGGCGTTTATTAGCTCCAAACAAAGTATGCACGGGTCTCCAACGTTGCCCGTGTGGGAACCTTCACAGGTCCTTTGGCGACCTTCCAGGATCCCGCCTATTGCAAAACAGCCCAGAACCAGGTTACGACATGCTTTTATTCCGGCACTGATTACCTGATTCCGATCAGCTGTCTGGCCGACGGCCGAGCCACTCCCTTCACTCCAGCAGCCGGCGCCCTAACCACACCCCGCTGCCACATACCCCCACCCCCACCCCCACCCCCACCGCCCGACTCAGGCCGGGATCCCGCCGGCCGCAAGCTGACTCTTCCCCCCCCTCCGCTGAGCGAGAGAGGAAATCAGCCACGACCATCTGGTTACCCGGCCTGTGGATCACCTTGAAGTTGAAAGGCTGTAACGGCAGATACCACTGAGTGATCCGAGCGTTGGCATCCTTCATGCGGTGGAGCCACTGGAGCGGGGCATGGTCCGACCAGAGGATGAAAGGGCGCCCCAGGAGGTAGTACCTCAGGGCGCCGACCGCCCACTGTATGGCGAGGCACTCCTTTTCCACCGTACTGTAGTTTACCTCCCTCTGGGCGAGCTTAGGGCTAATGTACAGTACGGGGCGGTCAACCCCCTCTACTTGCTGGGACAAAACGGCCCCCACCCCACTGTTCGAGGCGTCGGTCTGCAACACAAAAGGGAGAGAGAAGTCAGGAGAATACAGAAGCGGCAGAGGGCTTTTTTAACCCTCTCAAACGCCAGCTGACACCGCTCCGTCCACTGGACTGGATCTGAAGCACCCTTTCGGGTCAGGTCGGTCAGGGGACTGGTCAGCTCCGAAAAGGACGGGATGAACCGCCTGTAGTAGCCGGCCAGCCCCATGAACCTCCTGACCTCTTTTTTCGTCTTGGGCGCCAGACAGGCTGAAATGGAGTTTGTTTTCTCTACCTGTGGCCGCACCTGCCCGCCGCCCAAGTGGTACCCCAGATACCGTACCTCCCTCCATCCAACCGCACACTTCTTCGGGTTGGCTGTGAGCCCCGCCTGCCTCAGGGACTCGAGCACTGCCCCCACCTGCTGCATATGTTGCTCCCATATCTCACTGTGAATGATGACATCATCCAAGTAAGCAGCAGCATATGCAGAGTGGGGACGCAGCACCAGGTCCATGAGCCGCTGGAAGGTGGCTGGAGCTCCGAACAACCCGAAAGGAAGTGTGATGAATTGGTATAAACCATACGGAGTGGAGAAGGCCGTTTTTTCCTTAGACACTGGAGAAAGGGGAATCTGCCAATAGCCCTTGGTTAAATCCAGCGTCGTGTAAAAGCGAGCAGTGCCTAGCCGATCCAGGAGTTCGTCGACCCGGGGCATTGGATAAGCATCAAATTTGGACACCTCGTTCACCCTGCGATAGTCCACACAGAACCGGATTGACCCGTCGGACTTACGTACCAGCACGACGGGGCAACACCAGTCACTGGTGGACTCTTCTATCACTCCCATCTCTAGCATAGCCTGAAGCTCCGCCTGAACAATTTTCCTCTTGTGTTCAGGCAGCCGATAGGGCCGTGAACGAATGGCCACGCCCGGGGGCGTTTCTATGCGGTGGTGTATGAGAGAGGTGCGCCCTGGCAGCGGAGAGAACACGTCGGCAAACTGCCTTTGCAACGAAGCAACGTCTGCTCTCTGGCCCGGTGAGATATTGTCGCCACAACAGACCGGGGCTAATTTGTTGCTTTTAATGACCTCTGGTCCCAACTCATCTCTCTCAATCACCGTGGTGGCCAGAGAAACAGACGCCACTTCCCTCCATGCTTTCAGGAGGTTAAGGTGGTAAATCTGTGTTGCTCCCCCCCTGTCAGAACGCACCACCTCATAATCTACGTCCCCCACTCGTCGTGTGACCACGAAGGGTCCTTGCCACTAGGCGAGTAGTTTAGAGCAAGAGGATGGGAGTAATACAAGCACTTTATCTCCCGGTGAAAATTGTCTCAGTTTCGACCCTCTGTTGTACAGGCCTGCTGACGTTCCTGAGCCTGGAGCAAATTCTCCCGTGATATCTGCCCCAGTGAGTGGAGTTTTGCTAGCAGGTCCATAACGTACTGTATTTCGTTTTTACTGGTGCTTGGACCCTCCTCCCAGTTTTCCTTAACTAGGTCCAAAACACTCCGGGGCTTCCTACCAAATAACAGCTCAAAGGGAGAAAATCCTGTGGAGGACTGGGGCACCTCCCGCACTGCAAACAACAGAGGATCTACTGTAGCCATTTATCCCAATTACGACTATCTTCGTGAACGAACTTACGAACCATGTTCTTTAGTGTTTTGTTAAACCGTTCCACCAGGCCGTCGGTCTGCGGATGGTAAACACTAGTCCGTATTGAATGGACGCCCAGTAGTTCATACAGCTCGCGTAGTGTGCGTGACATAAACTGTGTGCCCTGGTCAGTCAGGATCTCTTTCGGGATCCCGACTCGGGAGATAATGTGAAACAGTGCCTACGCTCTTTGCAGAGATATTACGCAGCGGCACTGCTTCGGGATATCGCGTTGCATAATCCACTAGGACTAGTACAAAGCGATATCCCCGTGCACTCCGGTCTAATGGCCCGATGAGGTCCATACCAACTCTCTCAAAAGGCACCTCAATCAATGGTAACAGGCGCTCTGGGGATGGCCGGCGGGTTAACCAGCTGACATTCACGGCAAGATGCACACCACCGCTTCACATCTGCGCGAATGCTCGGCCAATAAAATCGGGCCATTATCCGGTGTAGTGATTTGTCGTACCCTAGGTGACCTGGCATGGGGTTATAATGAGCCGCCTGGTAAACCATTTCCCGACGGCTTTTTGGCACCAACAACTGGGTATTTATCTCTCCTGTCTGTGTGTCACGGCTTACACGATACAGCCTGTCCCTAACCACCGTAAAGTGTGGGTGAGTGAGTGCTGTGTTTGGGTGTAGCTGGGAGCCATCAATACTCACCACCTGGCCGAAGGCGTGCTGAAGGGTCTCGTCCCTCGACTGTTCGAGGGGGAAATCCTCCATGGGAAACACCAGCGGGTCCAGAGGGACCTCCGCTGCCCCCTCCGTGTCCGTCTCCTCCTCGACGTCGTCAGCCGCCTCCGACTCTCCACTAAACACAGCACACAACTCACATTTCCCTGCCATGTGTGAACGCACCCCCATAGCCCCCGCTAGCTTAGCAAACCCCGGCCAATTCATTCCCAAAATCAGGGGGTGCGTAAGGCGAGTGCTAACTCCAGCCCTGACCCAGCTTTTTCCCCTTATAAGACATTTCCAGCGTCACCTCCGGGTACTGGTGAATATCCCCATGCACACACCTCACCTTCACCCACGATGCTTCAATCAATGCCCCAGGCCGAACCAAGCGCTGATGGATCATCGTCTGATTACAGCCCGTGTCCATCAGAGCCTGGTGTGTACCCCCCGTCCCTTCCAAATCGGGGGAGGCAACTGGCGGTCCCGCAACCCGAACCAGCTGTCCGACCTCCATGAGAGGACACTCCCGTCGGAAGTGGCCGGGCTGCCCGCACCGCCAGCAATCCTGCCCTGACCTCTGAGGAGCCCCCCGTGGTGCCGGACGACCAGAAGCGTGGGCCGGACCCTGGGGAGAGATAAAAACAGGAGGGTAAGGTAGGGCTTGGGGGGAAAGTGTCGGGGCTGCGGGGTTGGGGCCGTGTGGTGGTGGGGAGGGAAGGGCAGCTGCTCCAGGAAACCTCCTCCTCGGGGCTGGGACGGGTCGGCCTGCTGAAACGGCTGGTGGTCGGGGCTCCTCTTTCATGCTCCGCCGGGGAAGCGAGAGGTGGTCCTCCGCGAGGACGACGGCTGCTTCCAGGTTGGCGGGGCGATTGCACTGGACCCAATTCACCGTAGAAGATGGCAGGCCGGGGATTAACTGCTCCAGCGCCACCTGCCCGACGACTTCCTCAGCGGAGCGCACCCCCGGCTGGAGCCAGCCGCTGCATCCAGGAGCCACTGCGCGTAGGAGAAGGGCCGGTCAGCGTCCTCGAAGGGGAGGGCCCGGAACCGGCGGCGATGTCCCTCTGGTGTGCTGCCAAGCCAGTCCAGGATGGCCTTCCTCAGATGCCGGTACACATGCCGAGAGGCTGCTGGCAGGCTGTGGGCGGCTAGCTGCGCACCCCCAGATAGCAGAGGCAATAGCCGCGCTGCCCACTCCTCCTCCGGCCACCTGCACGCCGCCGATTTTAATCGATTAAGTCGATTAGTTGTTGCACCCCTATCTGATAGATAGAACATAGGTAGCCTATCAAAACGGCCCGGCCCAGCCCAGCCCAGTGGGGTGTAGGACACACCCCTCCAGGGAATGGCCGGAACCCTTACAAATGTGGGCCGGTAGGATTTAGGTAAGCAAAAAAAAAAAAAAAGGGAGTGGCTGGAACACTTACAAATGTGGGCCGGTAGGATTTAGGCAAAGAAAAAAAAAAAACATTTAAAAAATGTTTTACATCCGGCCCACGCACAGCACCGGCCCACCGGGAAAACTCCCGGTATTCCCAATGGCCGGTCAACATTTAAATCTTCCGGACAAAATTTGAAAAGTGCCGGTCAAAGGTCTTCTTTGTTATTTATTGAGCTTCAAAACAAATGAATAACGACTCTATATAATAATATAAGAATAAAACACGGAGGACGGAGCCTCTCTTTTCCTCCCCCTCTTCTGAGAGCCCAGCAGCTGATCAGAGCACGCTCCCCTCTCCTGCAGGGGGGCGTGGTCAGCTGCAGCTCATTTGCATTAAAAGCTATGTCACAGAATCAGCCCTTGCAAAAACAGGGCTGGAAAAGAGCAAATAGAGCGAAATGAGGCATGGCTAAAATGCATGATCTGTTTGGAACGGAGGGGTAGGGTGGAGGGGGCGGTTTGGGAATGGGCCAATGTAACAAACTGTCGTCTGGTGCGCACCAGAGAAGCGGACTATTAGGTGTGAATACAAGACTAAAGTGAACAATCTAAACACTCAGAGAGTCCTTTAGCTCACCTGAGTCTCTCAGTCTGAGAGGAGAGGACCCTCCTCCAGCTTGTTGTGGAACAAACAGCTCCTTATGTCCGTTAGTGCAGCTAGCTAACCAGATGCTAACAACACGGTCCCTGCTGGCACCGGTCCCTCTCTCTCCCTCTCTCTCGATCACACTAAGGCCCATTCCCAAACCGCCCCCTACCCCTCCGTTTGCGCATTCACGCGGAGAGTCCGCCATATTGAGGGCTGTTCCAAACCAACGAGTGTGGAGCGGTGTGGAGGGGGAGTGGGCTATCGAGCGGTGCTGACTTGAGACCGGTCTCTACCTGACCGGTCTCAACACTGTGTGTGTCCGTCAGACTCAATGAAAGATGTTTGGAGTTTTATTTGAGTTATTAATTAAAAAATGTTGTCAAAGAGATGCTGATTTGAAACCGTTGTTACATACAGTTACGGCATTTCCTGTTTCTGCTGTAGAGAGGGGAGGCTGTCCCAAAGCTTGCTGCTGTATTTACTCCCTCCATCTGACAGGAGGGACCCTCGTTGAGCTGCGAGTGTGGCTACAGACGGAGTTCACTCCGTCACGGAGGGGTAGGGTCGAGGGAGTGGTTTGGGATTGGGCCTAAATGCGCTATTGCCACACACACACACAGGGGCGGATTGGCCATCGGGAATACCGGGAGTTTCCCCGGTGGGCCGGTGCTGTGCATGGGCCGGAGGGCCGGTGCTGTGCATGGGCCGGAGGGCCAAAACAATAAATACATTTTTTTTTAAATATTTAAAAAAAAAAATAAAAATGTTTGCCTAAATCCTACCGGCCCATATTTGTGAGTATACCGGCCACTCCCTTTTTTTTTTTGCTTAACTAAATCCTACCGGCCCACATTTGTAAGTGCCCACATTTGTAAGCGTTCCGGGCCGGCCACTCCCCATCAGGCCCGTAGCAGCTGTCACTGCGCAGTGAAAGATCAGGAGTGAGTTACTGATGGATAAACAAGCTCCAAAGCGTAAAGGAGGTGCACAAAAACTTAGGGATAAAAAAATGAAAGCACTTGAGGAAGGTTCAGCAAAATAAAAATAAATTACAGACTTTTCGTTTGGTCCTGCAGCTGGTTGTAGTTGTAGTACAACCACCACCGGAGAAGCTGATGTAACGTTAGCCGACACAGCGGCCATTCCCAGTGGCAGTGAGTCCAGCAATGAAACTGACACAGTACAGCGGCATCTAGAGCCCAGTACCAGCAGTGATATGATGGTAAGTTAATGTTATGATTGATGCTGAAAGTGAAAATCCTCATTTGGCTAATGCTAGCTTGCTTTTTAATGTAGCAGATGAGGTAATATTAGCTAGCTAGCCTATTTCTAGCTAGCTAGGCTATTGCCTACAGTACATTGTGTGTTCACAGGGACAGCTAATGCATTAGCTAGCTAGCCTATTGCCTACAGTACATTGTGTGTTCACAGGGACAGGGTAAAATTAACAACATTCACTGACCAAATTCTGGTGAAATATGCAAGCTGCTGGTAGATTTGCTTCACTCATTGACAACGGTAATCTATTTGAACATTATAGCCACTTGACTTGGGCTGGTGAATCAATGAGACTACGATGATTGCTTATACTGTCTTTTGTTTGATTAGCTTAGACGTTAGGTTACCTTATTAATACTACAAATAATAAAGGGTCCATTATTTGTCAACCTGCAACTAAAGTTACTGTCTGGTGGAAATTAGCCTGTTACTGTCTTTAAGACTTTACTTGGTTTACATACATAATAATAACATGGTGGTAACATAATAACGTAACATACTAATCAATACTAATCATTTATGTAGGCTGAAGATGATCCTGCTGCTGACACTGACAGAGTTAGTCAAGGCCAGGATGTCAGTGCCACCCCAGTTGATTATTTCACCAGGCCGATGTCAGGCACATTAGACCTATTCTTCCGTTTTCACCCCCAGCAGAAGGCAGACAAGGCTGTAGTGCAGAGGGCTTTTTTTTGCAAAGACGGCACAAACAGGAAATAGCTATCATACAGTGAAGCCAGAGAAGTACTCTTCTGCTCCCTTTGTATGGCTTTTGCTAATCCTAGAGATAGCAACTCCTTCATCACTGGCATGACCAACTTCACACACATACATCAGAGAGTCGAGGAGCATGATCAGAGCCATGCTCACAGAGGTTGCGCTGAGGCATATTTCCTCAGATTCTCAAAAAACACAATTCAGGACCTTCTCATGGGACCTCAGATGTCACGTCACAGAGAGGAAGTCCGCAGGAAGCGTCAAGTGTTGGAGCGCATCATAGATGTGTTGAAGCTCATTGGTCAAAGTGGTTTGAGCTACAGGGGCACGCAGGCGGAGGCATTATATACACAAGATGATGACACCATTGATCATGGTAACTTTTTAGAGATGATTGTTTTGCTGGGAAAATATGATGTGTGTCTCAAGGAACACCTCACTCTCTGTACAGAGAGGGGTTCAGGTGGAGTGGCTGCACCCGTAGGATAGAAAAGGGGAAAGTGACGTCTGACTCAGAGGTCGCACGGCTGTGGAGAAGAACGTTCATTCAGAACCCACATTCTGTTACTGAGTTTAGGCTAGTTAGCTAGCAGGTTTATTGTTCTGGGTGCAGTCACTTTTGCCTCCACTTGCTGTTCAAATAAATGTTGAAAGAAAAAGTTAATCTGTTTACAGTTCTGTTTCATATTGGTGTTGAGAGATGTATCCATAGCTTTAGTCCCTAATTTTGCTCTCCAAATGCACCAGATTGATGCATTTAACTTCAACATTTTAAAACAAATCTTCCCGGGAGAGCTTGCGCCCGGACCCCCCTAGAGGAGGTGAGGTCCACCACCTGCCCACACCCCCTGTCAAATTGTCTCACCCACATTGAGGATGCTTCCTACCCCCATGTTTTATTCCATGCGTCAAGTCAGGCAAATTGGGTCCAAATGTTATTGCATCAATGATCTGTTAACATTAAAATCACTAAATATATGCTGTAACTATTTTGCTTAGGCAACTCAAGGGCTCAGGTAATGTGATGACTATATGAATAATGGTCCAAAATAACATAAAATGCATAGGGTTTTTTGTTAAGTAACATACTTTCGTCGCCGGCCGGCCGATACATGCCGCGCATTAAGTGGGCCTGTCTGTCAATTAATCCCCGGGCCACTTTTTCCCCCCAGTCCGCCCCTGCACACACAGAGCCGAGCTTGAATGACACAAGCACAACATTTTTTTTATAAAAATGTATAAATTAATAATGTTGTGTACAAACATTTCAAATGTAAATATAAAATGAAAAATAAGTTTATTTTTTAAATGATTTCTCACAAAAACCTTTCTAAATTATAGTAAACTATTAAAAAATGTTTAGTCAGTTTTTCTGCCTAAAATAGTTGAAATTGAACATGAACTATATCAAACACCACATGCATGGCAATTAACCCATTTTTGCCCGCTATTTAAATTGACTTTGGTTAGTTAAAGGGGAAAGGAAACACCAATTACAGCTATAATATTCCGGGAGTTTATTCATTTTACAATGGATATTGATCGTAATATTTATTGTATATGATATTACTCGCCAAAAGAAAATTAATTATCCGCCGGCCGGTGGGGAATTCCGGGACCAGGCCGCCGCCATTAGGGGAGTCCCAAATGGTGACGTCACTGGGTGGGTCTTCGCTCCGGGTATCCATACCGGAAGTCAACACAACGTAGCAGATATGGCAGCGATGGAGGAATTTTGCAATGAGATCGACGTTTTGATCGATGAATTTGACTATTCGTCGGGAGATGACATTGATGTGGAGGCATCTACAGTTACCAGGCATCCCATGGTCTATGCTTATGAACCGATTCGGTCGAATACTAAAGTGGCATACGATCCGGAATCCGCCGAAAGTACCGACGGTTCTGAACTCGCCGAGTGGGATACCACCAGTTCCAGTACCGACTCGGTCTCAGTGGTCAGTTGACATATATTTTGTATTATTTTCCAACACCTCATACATCTTGGCAATACCATCCATTGAACACCTAGTCCAGCAATACTAGCCTTTTTAGGGCTGTTTTCGACAGATGAGCGTGTGTATGTATGCCAGTTTAATTAGTTGAGCTATAGAACACCCCCAATTCTCCATTGTACGTCATAATAATAGCTACCATTTAGTTTGGACGCGATTGCATTAATTAATAAGGTCACACTGTGTCAGTAAATACATGTGTGAGCTAGTAATCTGGTAGTGCTGCAATATTTACCACTCTCTCGGCAGCTGAAGCAACTCGTTTGGTGGCTCGAACGTCACGTTTGTTGACACTGTCATTGTCTTGCGCGGCCGACGTGCTGGGACGGTCGGTGTTCCCGACTGCATACGTTGAGAAATCGAATATTGTGGGAACAGATCCTGGCTTCAAATCCGATGTTTTGTATTAAACCAAGCATCCAGACTCATCAAACCTCATTTTGTGGACATAATCGTCATTTTTAAAGTGTTCGCTGCACACACGTGCGTACTGATTCAGCGGCGGATCGGACCATTTCATGGAAATAACCCATGCTTTGAGCAGCTTCTCATCCGTTAGTGGCAGCCTATGGAAATGTACTTCTTCCTTCTTCGTATAAAATCCATTTGTGCAGCCTGGGGCAATACAATAAACTCCTGACGACGACCGTTTTCTTTTAATGTAAACTACTGGTGCATTGCCCGCCATGTTGTTTGTTATTGAGCTTTGGCCCAGGAAGCCGTACCCACTCAGTGACGTCACTGGGAAAGTCCCGGCGCAATGGAAGCGCCCATGGTCATTAGGCACGTATTTCAAAAAATAAATTCGCGTATCTCGATCGTTTACATTGGAAATAGACTAGATAAATACATTTCCTAATGGGAATATTGTCGCATGGAAAGCAGTTTGAAAAGTGTTTCCATTTCCCTTTAATAAAAATATTGATATTATATATATATATATATATATATATATATATATAGCATATAATTGATGCAGTCTTTCTGAACACTTTTAATACTGCAAATGAAGAATATTTAAAATGTTCTGCACAGAGTGCCCTAACTTACAGCAGTTGAAAAGATTTGTGAAAGGATACATTCTTCATGGGCTTCAATGGCTCTCTAGTAAAGGGTGTTTTATGGTTGCTTGTATTATCCTCAGATAGTGGTTTGTTTAAATAACTAGTGACATTTTAATAAATATTGCAAAAAAGGCATATACAGTGGGGCAAAAAAGTATTTAGTCAGCCACCAATTGTGCAAGTTCTCCCACTTAAAAAGATGAGGCCTGTAATTTTCATCCTAGGTATACTTCAACTATGAGAGACAAAATGAGAAAAAAAAAGAAATCCAGAAAATCACATTGTCTGATTTTTAAAGAATTTATTTGCAAATTATGGTGGAAAATAAGTATTTGGTCAATAACAAAAGTTAATCTCAATACTTTGTTATATACCCTTTGTTGGCAAGGACAGAGGTCAAACGTTTTCTGTAAGTCTTCACAAGGTTTTCACACACTGTTGCTGGTATTTTGGCCCATTCCTCCATGCAGATCTCCTCTAGAGCAGTGATGTTTTGGGGCTGTCGCTGGGCAACACGGATTTTCAACTCCCTCCAAAGATTTTCTATGGGGTTGAGATCTGGAGACTGGCTAGGCCACTCCAGGACCTTGAAATGCTTCTTACGAAGCCACTCCTTTGTTGCCCGGGCGGTGTGTTTGGGATCATTGTTATGCTGAAAGACCCAGCCACGTTTCATCTTCAATGCCCTTGCTGATGGAAGGAGGTTGTCACTCAAAATCTCACGATACATGGCCCCATTCATTCTTTCCTTTACATGGATCAGTCGTCCTGGTCCCTTTGCAGAAAAACAGCCCCAAAGCATGATGTTTCCACCCCCATGTTTCACAGTAGGTATGGTGTCCTTTGGATGCAACTCAGCATTCTTTCTCCTCCAAACACGTCTAGTTTAGTTTTTACCAACAAGTTCTATTTTGGTTTCATCTGACCATATGACATTCTCCCAATCCTCTTCTGGATCATCTAAATACTCTCTAGCAAACTTCAGACGGGCCTGGACATGTACTGGCTTAAGCAGGGGGACACGTCTGGCACTGCAGGATTTGAGTCCCTGGCGGCGTAGTGTGTTACTGATGGTAGCCTTTGTTACTTTGGTCCCAGATCTCTGCAGGTCATTAACTAGGTCCCCCCGTGTGGTTCTGGGATTTTTGCTCACCGTTCTTGTGATCATTTTGACCCCACAGGGTGAGATCTTGCGTGGAGCCCCAGATCGAGGGAGATTATCAGTGGTCTTGTATGTCTTCCATTTTCTAATAATTGCTCCCACAGTTGATTTCTTCACACGAAGCTGCTTACCTATTGCAGATTCAGTCTTCCCAGCCTGGTGCAGGTCTACAATTTTGTTTCTGGTGTCCTTTGACAGCTCTTTGGTCTTGGCCATAGTGGAGTTTGGAGTGTGACTGTTTGAGGTTGTGGACAGGTGTCTTTTATACTGATAACGAGTTCAAACAGGTGCCATTAATACAGTTAACGAGTGGAGGACAGAGGAGGCTCTTAAAGAAGAAGTTACAGGTCTGTGAGAGCCAGAAATCTTGTTTGTTTGTAGGTGACCAAATACTTATTTTACCAAGGAATTTACCAATGAATTCATTAAAAAAATCCTACAATGTGATTTCCTGGATTCTTTCCCCCCATTCTGTCTCTCATAGTTGAAGTGTACCTAGGATGAAAATTACAGGCCTCATCTTTTTAAGTGGGAGAACTTGCACAATTGGTGGCTGACTAAATACTTTTTTGCCCCACTGTATAACCTGGCCGGCTTAGCCAGTGTGTTCTTCAAGCACCACAAGATTCATAGTTTATAAAGTACAATTCTGGGCCATTTATTGTGTCATTTCTCCAAACACATACAGTACAAATGCCTGTTTATGAAGCCTTAAAATGGTGCAGGAAAAGGACTTTACATTGTATTATACTTAAAGACAGGACTATTCAGTTAAGAGAAGAGAAAAAGGAAAGAAAACTGTTATAATGGGTGATGTAACATTAATGACAGACATAAATGAGGTCCTTGGCACTCAGACTCTAGAGGGGTCATTTTGTGATCATGGGGCATCACCCTTACAGCATCAGGACAATATCATATGGAGTCAGACACTGGAAGTGTGCTGGAGGCGTTGACTGGGACTGATGGAAGGATGAGGCTGATGAGACTGAAGAATCTGTGAGGAACGAACTAGCGGCAGAGGAATAATTATATATTAAAAGACAGCAGCATCATAAGAGGGCAACCATGTGACAGAGTGTCAGTGTGCTGAAGGATAGACCAGCTATCCAGGCCAGACTCTAAAGACTTTCCAAGGTGTAAAATGCTGCTGCCGGAGTACTGACTTGAAGTATTGCTGATATCAAGTCTACCATCCTCTTAAAATACTCTGTCCAACAATATAATGGCGCATTTCCACTGCAACGGGGTAGCCCCGTTTAAGCGTCCCTAAGCGTCCTCGCTGGCCGTCCGAGGCCGTGGCGCATTTCCATTACAGTTTAGGACCTGGGGTAGCAACGCAGTGTAGGCGGGGCGATCGGCTTTGTTTTTGTTCACATTTCGAGTTGTTCCGTCGAGCTCCCGCTGGATGTTATCATCCCCAATGAGATGAAGGAACGTCGTCACCTCCTCGGTCGACCACGGTGTGCTTTTCTCATTAGACGTAGCCATTTTTGTAGCTCCTCCGTTTACAAAATGCTGTTTATAAAAATGCTGCAAGCTTGCTTCTAAATATATATGCGACGCTAGGGATGAATTTGCGCGCGATCTTGTGACGATTGTGTCTCACCAATCAGCAGTCGAGAGTGTTGACGTCACTAGTTCAGCCCTGGCCCGATAGAACCACGATTTTATGGGGCCGGAAAAAGTACCCGCTAGCCGGTACTAGGCTATATGGAAAGGCCACCAAAAACTGGCCTGGCCGCTTGAGGACGGTTAAGGACGCTTAAACGGGGCTACCCGCTGCAGTGGAAATGCGCCATAAGTCTCATGAAGAAAGTTTTTTTTTTTAACGCTTATTCAAAATAGCAGAGAAACATGCATTCTTGTTCTCAGGAGGGGACATTGACAGAGGATTATTGGAAAAGTACACAGTAAGTACTTCATAGTACTTGTGGGGGTAGTTTCACTAGTACTGAGTCCAACAGGATCAATCTCACGAAGCACTAATAGCAACAAAAAAGAATTCCCTCATCAAACTTAGCAGAAGTGGCTTGATTTTGTTCTCAGCAGGGGACTTTGACAGAGGATTTCTCCAAAAATACAGAGTAAAAGTACTTCAATGTATTGTTAGTAGTAGGCTTACTAATACAAAGTCAAACAGTATCAATTTCATTAAGAAGTAATGGTAAAATTATTTTTTTATCATTCACCAAAGATAGCAGAAAAACATGCATTATGGAGGGGACTATGACAGAGGATTACTCACAAAGTACACAGTAGAAGTACTTCATTTTATTTCTGGTAGAAGTCAAACTAGAACCGAGTCCAACAGTGTCAGTTTCCTTAAGAACTTGTGGTAACAAATATTTGTATCACTCGTCAAATATAGCAGGAATAATGAAGAGCAGCTGATTTGAAAAAACAAACTCGAGAGTTGACCGCAGTGCAGAATCGCTGTATAGTTTAAATCTCCTAACAATGTTGTCCATTTTAGACAGAGGCTTATTACAGCCAACTTGGGGCCCCAAGCGACATTGTGAGATTATTTTGACCAAAATATGGACAGGATAACAACAAGCTTCAGTGAACTGCTGATGCGGTTTTATTTCAGACATTTGGTTTACAGTAACAATCAATCTGGTAAATCACTTTTGTCATAATCTGAATATTATTCCATCATTTTCAGATTTCTGTATTAAAATGAACACCAAATAATTTGGTTATGCGCCTCAGCAGTTTTGCAGTATAATCTTTGTTCCACATAGTGGATTCATAAAAAACATAAATAGCAGAAAAAACATTCAAAACTGTTTTGATTTGAACAGCAACTATTAAAATTAAAACAAGCAGTAGCGACTACATTTTGTGAGTACAACTGATATAAACCTCTTCAAATAATTGACTTCTGTCTTGTTGCATACACACAAATGCTTGAGTATATTCTAAAGGTGTAAGGAGAAGGAAAACAACATTTAAACACATTGGTGTTAAAGTGCTTCCTTTTTAGCCCTTAGCTTTTCAAAGCTGTTGAATTAGTGTAGTTGAGCCACCACTGAGCCACAGTGGAACACCTGAAACAAGTTCATAAATCCACAAAAGCTGTGTTACTCTCACTAATGTGAACAACAATCTTCCTCCAGCAGCAACTTTGCTTTTCCACCCAATTACTCACTAAGTCGGCTTTAAGTTCCAAACCTCAAACCACATTTCCCTCTCTGCTTCATTCAGTCCTAAATAACGTCATGCAGAAACATCCAAAATGGTGGCTCCTCCTTCTCCATCAGGAGCTCCAAAAAGCTGAGTTCAGCTGGCCTTTTGGAGGCCGGATCTGTCGGCTCTGCAGTGACGTCTGCATGAGGAAGGAGAAAATATTAGTTCTCAAAAGAAACAAACCCAAGATTAGGATCACACAAACTAATCAACATTCTTATTAAATGTTTATTACACAACCTTATTGAAAACTAAATTCCAATTGGTCAATGTGGACATTTAGCGG